CAACACTTGCCTCAGCTCCTTTTATCAACTTTTAGAATCCCTATGCTTCTAGTGCCTTAGGAATAATTTGGGATGACTAATTCTATTCCAAATAACTGGTGAAGGGCGCTCATATTGAGCACGTGCATGTATAGAAAAAAAGGTTATTATAAAAAATAAATTTATATAGGATGTTATTGAAGTAGATAAAGTAAAAACTAAAAACATGGTTGCCAGATAATAACATTATTAGATTGACACTAATAAATCCGACTTAACTATAACATCTCACAACATATAAAAATAAGACATAACTACATATGGCCCAACGAACCACCTTCGAGATTAAGTTTGGCCCATAATAACCAACAACCATTAACAATAAAAAACTTCAACTCCAAAGGCCCATACCAATCCCTTGCACTACCTGTTTTTGAGAACATATGAAAACAAAATACAAGACTTGACTAATTAATCCACCCTCTAGACTAGGGGTGAGTATTCAATTTATTCAACTAAAAATCAACTCAAATAAATTGAAATTTAAAAAATCAAAATTAAAAACGTAAATCGAACAAACACTAGAATTTTATATTTGGTTTCTAGTCATTTCGGGGGAATCCATATTTCATTATGATATTACATATTATATAGCAAAATTCAATTAATTTGTTTTTTTCGATTAACTGAATTTCTAATTTTGAAACCCGAAACCAAAATTAAAATTCTTAAAAAATGAATTAACTGAACTGAAATAACTAAAAATAAAAACTAAAACCAAAATTTTCAAAATATAAACATAAAATGATTAACTAGATATGGTTTGTCGATCGAGCCTCTAGACCAAGCTTAGCCCATCATACCAACCGAAAACTACTAATACTAATACTACTACCACTACACACACTATTAATAAACCAACTTGAGCCCTACTTATCAAACCTAAATCCAAACCGTCAACATCTCCACCTATCTAGCCCAAGCCCATGACTAAGACCAAGTCCAATTCCATCCCCTAGCACAACCCACTAATCTTCATTTATTTTAATAAATCAAGTTACATAAGGAATACATATTGCTCGACATGGGCTTGTGGGGCCAATTGTTACTTTTATGTTAATATAAAAGTAAATACTAATATAAAATTATTACATTTTTAATTTTAAATCTTTATTTTTTTTAAGAAATGAAGTTGGATTAAATTGAAATCCAATGAGATTCATATTCGACCCAAGTTCTTATATTTTAAAATTACATTTTTTAATTATCAAAATGAAATGGACTGGATTAAAATCCAATCCAAGTTCTTATATGTTAAAACTACAATTTTTAAATTACTAAATTAAATATTTATTTTAAATCTGAATTTAGATTATTGAACCAACATAAAAAAGTCATTATTATTAGAATGGACAAAATTGTTCCTGAACTCCCTCCCCTACCCCAGGTAACACTGTAAGTTGGATTGTGTCTCGGGTTATAGTTGGGGTTTGGGCCCATTGAAAAATTAATATGAGGTGCTTCTCAATAATTCCTAAGATTTAGCAAGCCAATATTAGTATTTTACGTAAAATAATAAAAGATATCACAGCAAAATCATGCTTTCGAATTCAAGGTTTACTGAGGTTAGTTTGAAATATTATTGAAAATGATCAAAAGCAAAGAGTCTATATATATATATATATATATTAAAACAAAGCTGTCAAGAAATTTTTTCCTTTTTTTGAATTATTTATTTATTTTATTCCATGTCATTTTCAAGATAGTTAATGAGATGTACTTTCCCAATAACCTAAATAATCTCTTCTCCTAAAATTTCTCCTAAACTACCTCCCCTGCTATCCCCTACTTTCTCCAAAATTATCTCTAATTCCTATTTATCCTCTCCCTTACTTTTTTATTTATATCTATCTAAAGAAAGTTTAGATTAAAAAAAATTAATAATTATTTAAATACTCTAACAAAATTATATAATAACTTTAAAATATTTATTAAAAACAAAAAATAATTTTATATTTTTACAAAATATATCACGAAATTATGTACTAACAATTTAAGTTATATTTTTTTGGACTATCAATTCAAAAGTTTTTTAAATATTTAATAATATGTAATAGCTTTAAATAAATAAAATTCAAATAAAAAAGATTTTAAATATTTTATAGATTATTTAAATAACTAAATATTTATCATAACTAGATTTTAAATAGTTAAAATAAAGAAATTATGTAATAAATTTTAAAAGATCCTGAAATTAGAAAATAATTATAACATAATATTGAAATTAATAATAATTTAATACTTTTAGATAATATTGTAAATAACTAATTTCACTTATATCAAGTAATAATTCAATAAAATAACTTTCAAAAAGTAATATTTATTTATAATAATTTTAAACTCTTAATCTGTATTTATTATATAATTATATACTAAAATTAATATTTATTGTATTTTAGTAATTATTTATTGTTTTTTGTGATAAATGTATTTTCAATGATTATGTATAAATTTATTTATTTTTGTTATTTAACAGAAAACTTTTAATAATTTTTAGAGATTAAACTACTATTATTGAAATTTTTAAATTTATTTTATTGTATTTATTATATTTTTTTATAACTTATTGATTAATTTTTATCAGAGATTAAACTATTATTTGTGATTATACTATTTATTGACTAAGTTAATATATTTTTAGTACTTATTGTATTTTTGTAATTATTATAATTATTGTATTATTTCATTATCAATATATTTTTAATAATTGTGTATTTTCGCTATAAATTTTCAATAGTTATTGGAGATTAAACTATGCTTATTTATCAAAGATGAGACTATTAATTTATCTGAAATTATGAGTTTTCATGAGTTGGTTCGGTTCGGTCATAGGCTAGTTGGCCAACCAAATTGACTTGGTCAAGTTGGGGAGTTAGTCAACTGAAACCAATTGACCTTTTGTGAAATCCGACGCACTCAAGTTGTATCGTTTTGGGTCGATTTTTTGGTTTGGTCAGTCGGTTCAAAAGATTTAAACTTAAAAATTAAATTTAATTTTAGAAATTGTTGTGCAATTATTAAAAAATTAGACTTATGATATAAAACATTTTAAACTAAGAAATATGGGAGATTTCTCACTTTTCCATATTAAAATTAAGATTTAAAATATAAAATATTAATATATATCCATGGTTAAGTCGTTTGATTTTGGTCGGTTTACAAATGGCCAAAGTGAAACTAATCCAACTTGGTCGAATTGGGTAATTTTTGAACCAAAGCCGACCTAAAATACTAGAAAACCGAGCAACTCAAGTTGAGTTGCTAATACTAATTATTTAAAAAGTTGAAAATATATAACAATTGTATACTGTTATGTGTTTCTATTAGGGTCATTTATTAGAACACACCTTTAGGGATGGCAATTTTTCCCATCCCCGACTTCCTCGACCCGATGGAGTCGAGGATGGGGATTGTTTTGGCGGGGGCGGGGCGGGGACGAGGATTAGAAAAATACTATTATTCGAAAACATTTTGGGGATTCGGGTCCCTACGGGGAACCCATCCCCGTCGGGGATCTGGGGTGGGGATTAATTTTAGAATCGGGGTCGGGGAATATGACCCCCACCCCGAACCCGCCTTGTTGCCATTCCTTCACACCTTATAGTTTTACATATTTACGTAAACCTACCTTAAATTTTTCATTTTACTAAATCATCCCAATAATTTTACAACTTATTTACTTAATCAACCTTTCATTAATGAGTGTTTGTTTTGCCACTAGACCCATGATTTTTTATTCCAAAAATACCCTTAACACTTTTTTGTATAGAAAACAAAATTGACTAAACATAGCCAATAGAGTGGTTGCCCGTGTCTTATTAAGGGCAAAAATGGTATTTTTATTTTTATTTTCTTTTGATTAAATTTATTTAAATGAACGTTAGGATCAACATTGTCATTTTAATGGAAGATTGATTAAATCTATTGCTAGGGCTGTTCACGGGTCGGGTTGGGTCGGTTTACTGGCGTTTTTCCAACTGAACCGACCTAGTCGGTTTACCTAGAAATGAAACCAAAATCGACCCAGTACTAAGTAAAACCGACCTGGTCGGTTTGAATCGGTTTGGATCGGTTTTGGGTCGGTTTTGTGAATGATTCTTTCGGTGTGAACGGTAAAGGATTCAAGTCTAAGAAAGCAAAGGTTGGATGCCTGGAAATTAAAAATAATTTGATGGATTAAAACTGATATTTTATATATCAAAAATTTTATATATAATATGTATATTTCTGAAATAAAGCTGAAATATATATATATATATATATTCTGAAATATATTATATATATAATATATATCTAAGTCGGTTTGGTTTCGGTTTTCACACATGAAAACCGTAACTGAACCGAACCATTGGTTTATGTTTTTTTGTAACCTGAAACCGACCGGTGCTGAAGAAAAACCGACCAACTCGGGTTGGATTGGACCGAATTGGTCGGTTTAGATCTTGTTATGAACAACCCTATCTATTGCAAATTATAAATAGTATTTTAGTGAAGTACTAAGTATATGATAGATTTTAGTAAATCCATGGAACTATAAAAGGTATTTTAATAAATGACCATTTCTATTGTTTAACTTTCGATTAATAAAATCCCGTAAATCGCACGGGTTCCCAGTTGTTTATTAAATAAACGGAAGCATACCAAACACCCTCCAAACGTTATAAACCCTTTGTGGAGCCACTTCGGTTCTAAGTGATGTCATCCATCCATGATCGAACCAGTTTCAATCAATGTGGTCCATCCATGTACGTAGAACGCCCATATGTTGACTACGAAACTCTGGCCACATCCGTGTGCACAAACATCACAGCCGTGCATTGGGAGCATCCTCGGTTAATAGTACAAGAGATGTTTCCAATGTACGGCTGTAGATACGTGTACAACGATTTCATGGACTTCTCCATGAATTGAGTGACGGAGGGGCATTTATGGTATTATAATCTTCTCTGCTCCTATTTAAGAGCAGAAGTTAGGGTTTTAGTTGAGGAACAGACGATTTGCCCTAAACCTCCCATCTTCTCCCTCTGTTATCTCTTCCCCGGATCTATTTGCAGGTGGTGAAGTTCCGGCCATTTTATTCCCTATTTTCAATCATTAGCGAATTTTTTATCTTTAAATTTTCCCATTTAATTATTTCTAGTTTGCTTTCGTTTACAGATAAATGTCGACCGGAGAGCTTGCTTGCTCGTACGCTTCTCTCATTCTCTTCGATGATGGCATCTCCATCACGGTATCCATCAACCCGTTTTGCTTAAAACCACCATTGTAGTGTTTACTGTTATCTTGTGATTGATCTTCGCGTGCTTAAAACCACCATTGCTTAAAACCACCATTACATTAGTTACATTGCTTAAAACCACCCTTGTGTTAATCTATTACAGCTACATGATTATGTTAATTCGTCAATGTGCTCAAGTTCAATTTTCTTGAACCACTCGACAGGCTGAGAAGATTGCTGCTCTGGTCAAAGCAGCAAATGTGAAAATCGACTCTTACTGGCCGGGTTTGTTTTCAAAGCTCTTTGAGAAGAGAAGCATTGAGGACCTTATCGTGAATGTTGGGTCTGGTACGCAACAATTTACTGGACATGGGTTAGATGCTTTCAATTCTTTTATTTTTCTTCCCGCTTAGATAAAATTTATTTTATGGAATTTGTGTTGTTTGAAGGTGGTGGTGCACCAGCTGCAGTTGCTGCTCCAGCATCTGGTGCAGGTGCTCCAACAGCTGCTGCTCCTGCTTCTGAAGAAAAGAAGGTAAATTACCTGGTTAACAAAGGCATTTGCTACATTTTTGTCTATGATGTTAAGATTTGCTAACAGTAATATTACTACTGTATTTGGAACGTTTCATTGAGGCCTTACTCCAAAAGGAATGCTGGTTCTTCAGGTTGTATATAATAGGTGGAAAGTTTTTCAGGATGAAATATTTGATCTGTATTTTTACCCTTTTGACAATTTTGAACCGCTTCATTTTTGAAAATGAGGGTTTTGTTTTTCTTTCAAACAAGTTCAAAGGGATGGAAAATATAGCTTTCACTGTAAAAGATATGGAAGTTGTAGTTCAAATATTTCAGTCTGAAAAAGTTTGCAACCATTTAATGAAGAAACAAATGCAGCAGGTGACTGGGATTTTGCCTCACTGTTTTTGAATATGGCTATATAACTAGTAATTCATCACTTTTTTTAATTTCTTTTCAGCAGTCACTTAGTTTTATGTGATGTTCATTTTGGTTGGTAACAATAATAGATTTAGTTTGGCAGGAAAATGTTCAATAAAAAAATCTGATTTTGGGTTTTTCAATGTCTTTCCTTTCCTTTCCAATAACAGGCCTGTAGCTTTGGAAAATTTAGCATCTCCAATACTCTTTAATCATAAATACTTGCATCAAGGTTCAAAAAAACCCCAATGTACTGGGGTGTAGCATATTGCTTTGGCTAACACTACAATGTGCAAAAATAGAGTGTTTCAGGTTTTGGTTATTTTCAGGGACCAGGATCTGTTACCCACATCTCTACCGAACATTGCAGCTGCACATTGAGAATATCTCCCGTCATTCATGGAGATGTTACCACACTGTTCCCACATCCCTACCAACAGGATGTTGCAGCTGCACATTGGGAATATCTCCTATGTGATTCATGGAGATGTTACCAATATATGTCTGGTATTCTGTGGGTAGAGATGTGGAAACAGTTTGTGGGAAGTGGATTGGCTTGGTGAAGGTATGACTGGTCCCATGTAAAATTTAGAAAGGAAAAACTGAAAATAAAACTGGGGATGATTTCACCCTTCAAGAAACAATTACCCAAGACTTATTGAACTACTACAAATTAGAGGATTTCACCCTTCAAATACTTGGGGTCTGTTTGGTTGCAGTTGGAATTGGAATCTGAATTGCAATGGTCTATTCCTGACATGAATCTGAATGGGAATTAGAATCAGCTTGAATAGGATTTCATCCCTAAGAGGGGGGGAGGGAATGACCATTCCGCCAGGAATGGGAATGGGGACACCTAAACAGTTGGAATTGGAAATGGCTCATTCCAATTCTGATTCCAGACTCCCTATTTCCTGTGAACCAAACTGACCCTTAATTTTTTCTGGGTGCTGATAATTTTTTTCTGTAACTACTCGGTGAAATCCTACAACAAATAGATCAAAGTACTTGAATCATGCTGTTTATTGTGCAATGAGTCTACATGTGTAGTAATATAATTGGGTTCAGTTGATGGTATCAATGTTGAATAGTGAACTTTCAGAATTTTATATGAAGTTTTACTTGAACACTATCTTTTGGACATGAATTGTTGCACATTTCTTCTGACATATGCCTTTTATGCTTTTATCAGGAGGAGCCCAAGGAAGAAAGTGATGATGACATGGGTTTTAGCTTATTTGACTAAAGCTTCTTTGGAGATGAATTTTTGTTAGCATAGTTTTTAGCCATTTAATTCTTTTTTCATTTTCTTCATTTTGCCGTTGCGGCGCATTTCATGGCATTTAGATTTTTATGATCTTCATTTTCCATCTGCCAAGTGAGATAACCTGCTAGGTTGCTACAACTTCTGTTTTTTGAGAGGCAAATGGCTTAATAGAAAGTTGTTATCTTGCATATGCATATCCTATATATTCTTGTGGCTTAAAAGAACGTGGAAAATTTTGAGCAAAGAAATTCGAAGTTTTGCATTTACAGCACATGCCATATGCCCATATCTGGCATGTCTAATACACTAACTCGTGTCGATACTTTGAACCAGGAACGGGAGAATCCTCTGGGGTTTGGGTTAGGAAAAAATGAATTCGGATTAGCTGAAACTGAACGCGATGGCCGTTCTCAGCTGTTATAAATTCATGGGCCCATTATGAAAGGTGCGGGACCCATGTCTTTTATTACTGACGTGGATAAGATGTGCTCGGTTCAACAAGTTGATCCATCATAAATCAGTTGTGCTCGTATTCGTGAGGTAAGGCAAGTTAGGAGCATTATATTGATTTGGGGTGGCAGTCGAGTTTCTGATCATTCATCCTATCTATCTATTTACATAAAGTCAAGTGGGTTGTACCTAACCTATACCCACCGTTCTCAATTACAATTCTCACCAATAACCAGAATTCAAGTAGCTCATCTAATGGCTAATCTCCAATAACAGGGTCTGAAGTAATTCATCTGTGGTACCCTCGATGTGTTGATAACTTATATTTTGCCTTCTCCCTATTAAAGGTAATTAAATCTGAAAAGTCTTTTCAGTAGTTACCATGAATTTGCCTTAGGGTTAAAAAAAACCCAAGTTCAAAGTATTCATAGGGATGGCAAATTTTACCCTATCCGTTGGCTATATGTCCCTATGGTTTTTGGTTATTTTTCTTGAAGGATGGATTTTGGGGTGAGGATGGATTTAAGGATTCTAGAACTTGAAAAGGGTATGGGTAGGAGGGCATGGTATTAGGTTAAATTCGACCCTCTCCGATCTACATATTGTTGGAAAGAATATGAACTTAGTGTATTAGGCAAGGTTCAAAAAATCATTACGTATCAGGAGCACCCTGATATGTCCCTACAGAGTGTATCGGTGTTTTGACTGGTTCAAGGGGTGGAGGAACTTTAAACTTTCCCCCTGAACCAGATTTGAAAAAAGAAACAATACTGATATTGTCCGATATGCCCCTATCAGTGTATCAATATTTAGAACCTTGGTATTAGGTGAATTTAATAATAATTTGAATTTCGTGTTTTTAAAATATCTTAATTAAATAATTGAAAACTTTGTTGTTTGTTGATATTATTTTATTTATTTACTAGTCAGGACTCATGTGATGCACGGACATTGTTAAGGGAAATTGAGAAAAAAGGGACCTTATGATATATAGGGCAACTGATTATACATGTTGCTAATGTATCATTGTGTAACCAATTTGATCCACGGTTGAACTGTTGGTCCTCAACCTAAAGGCACAAGTGGCTCAGCCTTTGAATTGGTTTTTAAAACACTTATTATTATCAGTAATGCATAAATAACAATGAATTCACAAATTAGTAAAATTACTGTTAATAAAAAGTTGAGACAAGATTTCTCTATTTCAAGCCAATATGTCAGCATGGTTAAGCGAAATTCTAGTAAGTATTTTGGTATCAACAACTAACCAAAATTCAAAATTTCAAGCTACAAAATGGCACATGACGTCTTACAAAAATAAATAACAATGAAAATAATTCTCATCGTCTAATTTCACATTGAAGTATCAAATGGTTATCTTTTATGTATTCATGTTGCCAAAATAGTGGAGCCCTGAACAGTATGAATTGTTATTTTCATTGTACTGATACAGATATTATTTTGTTATGCATATACATAAATTGAATGGTTTATGTCATTAGAAACATTATTAGGATAAATTAAATGTTGCCCTTAGGCAAAAATAAAACTAAACAAATTAAAATTAGATAAGAGAAAACCAAACTACACCATACAAAGTGCAATCAACTATACCTATTTGTAGTTAGTATAGTAGGTTCATTGCTCCCTCTTAACAATAAAAATTTCAAAAATGGAATACACCATATCCGTGGAAAGTAAAATGCTATCACCAACCACAAAAAGGGCTGAAACCACCACCTCCACCCATTCCCAAATCCATGTCCTCAATTCGTCTCCATCATATCCTTGCATGGTTTTGTTTGCCCCCAAGTAACCTATAGATAGAAAAAAATTAGAACATGGAAGAGTCAAAGTAATAACTCTGCGAAAGTATCAGTTGCTTTTATACAATCTTAGCATTCTATTCAAGTGAATGTTACTTGAAATTGTGCCTAACATGCCCAAGTCCTTTTTGTTTCTTTCTTTACTTTGTTACCCCTTTTGTCCCTATATTACTTTTGTTAAATTTTAGTTAGAATAATTATAATTAAGAATTCCCATGTGACCATTGCCTTTTCAAGAGGAATTACTGAGAAAACAAAATAAAAAGATTTAAAAAATGAGGGATCTCTAGAAGGGAGGTCTAATAAGCAGAGAAGGGAAGTAAGTTGAGAAACAAACTAATTTATATAAAAAAAAAAACAGTAAGAATTATCAGTTGTATGGATGGGATGATTGGTGAGGTTGTTAGATATATGCATTTAGCCCCTCTCTCACCAATCCTATAATAAACCTAAAGACATCTCAATTTCCTTGATTTTTCTATGTAAATCACCAACAGAAAGAGGACCTTTAGCTCCTCTATTAGTTTTGTCCAATGGTGTAAATCAGAGTTAGGATTTTCACCTTAAAGCCCCGTTTATGATGTCTTGATTCTCTGTTGTAAAATAATGTAGATTCCCAAATGACATGGGAGCTTCTCTTCATACTAGATTTTGGGTTGTAGTCATGCCAAAGTTTTGGCACAATAGTTTTATCGTTTGCCTAACATTTATGACATGTCTAGGTTAATAGCATATAGTTAAAGTTCTTGATATTTTATCAATTTACTTATTTAACTATATTTTGTTCCAGTTGATGAAATTGTGTATTCCAACTGTGAAGACCTAATTACATGAAAGCCTTATCATAATGGAATCTTAGAGTTTCTTTTGAAATAAATATAGATAAAAGATATGTATAAGCATTGGTTCTTGATGAATATAGACAAAAGTTAATAAATTATAAAATATATAATGTGTTTTGGGGATTTATAAAGTGGGCGAGTTGTCACTAAAAAGCATATGTCCACAATTACCTGCAAGTATGGTGAATATTAAATCAAACATTCCCAATTTCCAAGCTATTATAGTAGGATCATAAATCACAACCTTATATTTAGGAATAACCATGGTAATAGTGCAAATACTGTATTATTATCATCTACATCTTGGTAATTCAGGTCACAATGATCCTCAGTTGCAATAGATGCAAGCACTTGGTACTACACATTTGGCAGCAATATATCGTATTTTGGAAAATTTGGAGGCTTTCCCTGTTAAAGGTATTTTCCTTTGCAAGAATGATAAGATAAGGATTGAAGTGTTAGCTAATGTAAATTAAGCTAGTTCTATTTATGGTAGGAGGTCGACGTTTGGTTTGCATGATCTTTGTGGTAGTAAATAAGCATCTTGAAAACGAAAGAAGCAATTTGTTATTGCTCATTCTAGTGCAAAGGCTGAGTATAGACCTATGGCATAGATTATTTGTACACTATAGTTGTAGTTTTTTACTTGGTGAGTTAAGAATTACTTAGGAGAAGCCTTTGGTACCTTTTTGTAATAACAAGACAATAATTAAAATAACACATAATATAATTTAGCACAATTGTATCAAACACACTGAGGTAGAACATCACTTTGTTAGGGAGAGAGTGATGATTGGAGATGAATGTCTCCCTTATGTGAAGATTGATTGACAATTAGTAGAGATCATTATCAATGGAGTACCTCAACTTAATCTACAGAGTGCTCTTGATAAGTTGGGAATGATGGACATCTAGTTCCAACTTAAGGGGTAATGTTGACAGGCTTGAATTATAGTTGTTTTATTTGTTTATGGGTTTGGTTTATAAATTGTTATAATCCTTTCTTATTTGGGCCCCTAGTTCTTTCTTATTGGGCCTTAGGTTTCTTGTATGTTACTTATTTTAATGTCTTATATTGCTACCGCTTTATGGGGAGCATACATGTAATTTGGCATTTAATTAACGAAGAATGTAAAAAATACCAAGGATCACATTAGATCCCACCCCACAATTTACTCTTTTATTCATGTCTACTCTCTTGTTTATTTCTATCTACATATTATTTTTTATTTGATGAAAAAAGCAAGTTGCTTTCTTTTTATTTTTTTAGTATGTTTTGGAAGTTAGCTAGTAGGATTTTTTTGTTGATTCACCTTCACTACCATTTATAAGCATTAAGTAAAATTTCTCTCTTCTCTTCGTATAGTCTAATGAACATTTCATGTTTTCTAGATTAATTTCTTCTTAATTGTATTAAAAATCACGACTGATGAAATTTGTTGGCATTTTCATATCTTTTTTTACCCAGATACACATGAACCTTTTATCTATCGTTCAACTCTTCAAAATTTTATCTTTGCAACTCTCTTTTAAAGTGGTTTTAGATGGAGAACCATTTTTTTATTCACCCTTGGGCAAGTTTATTGAAACTGCCCCTTTCTTTCTATGAGAAAATTTCTCCTATATAAAATAACCTATTAATTTGCAATTTTCCCCAAATGCCACATGATTAGATTTTCAATTAATCTTTTCAAATAATTTGAATATCGTGAAATTTAACAACTGTTCTTTAGTCATTTTGTTCTAAAATATTCAACCATGGATTAGTATCTTGTTATAGAGTTGTCTATAACCTTATTTGATTGAAGAAGGAAAAAACTAGAATGTAAAAGAGACAATAGGGCAAAACAAATAATACAAATAGTTTAATTTTCATAGGAAGATGGTTTTGAGAAATGAAGTCTTATCAAAGATACAAGAAGATGATACAAATCTGATGAAAGGGAATCAGATGGTGCTTCTTGATGTAGACCTTCCATTCGTACTGATGCTAGAGGGAGGATATTGATGAAGGATGATTTGACCCAACTTATGAAATGGTGACACGTAGGCACCGATTTAGCATGAGCGACAGCCTAGCACTGA